TTTATTTGTTGATTTTAGCCTTGCCTTGTAGTTAGACCATAGCCAGATTCATATAACTACCTAAAGTTGAAATCAAAAGTTCAAGATTTTGCCCTTGTCAAATGTTTATCTTGAGTTGGGTCTGATTGTATCATCTAATATTAATATTGAGGTTACTAGGCTAGCCACAGTTGGCCTTCAAATCAAAGTTGACTTTCTATCATGAAGTTCTGAAAACTACGAGGGTATCGCAGAATCCTTGAATTCATTGACCCCCTGCTCACTGACATTTTCTAGACTAAAAGGACAGCCCATGTTTTGGGATAATTGAATAATGAAAAAAACCTGGAACCCTTCAGTGCAGAGAAAGGGAGTAAAAGTATGCTTTGTGCAGATTGTTTTTGTGTCTCCTTATCTATCCATATTAGACTTGGCATATTTTACACCTTGTTACTTTTCTCTTTTCCTTTTTTACAAATCTTGAGACTATCAGAGATAATGACTCCTGCATATCTTTGACATTATTTTATTGCATGGATTCTTTATTACACTAGTGCTAACCATGTCTATAGCACTAAATAAAGCAAAGATGAGCAATTGTAGATAGCTGATAAGTATACGGCAGCATCTGTGCAAAGGATGGAAGACAGTTAGGTTACCTGGCGTAGGAGAACACCAGAGTTAAACTGGTTAGCAAACATGCTATTTGATGTATTTTCACTTTTAGATAAAGGGCTCTTGTCATACCTTGTATGCAGCTGAGACATGAATTGAAAGCAGTGTGACAGAATAATTCCATTATCACTTTAAAGTCTGACATGACTTTTAGGATGACTGTTCTATTAATATTTTAATTTGCCTGTATGTCTTTATAGGTATCGTCTTGAAGAAGCAGTGGTTCAAATTGTGCTTTCTGAGTATTAGTTGGAAGTCAACTCTGGGGATTCCATGACATTTCTTGAAACTACTTGTTTTCTCTAAACTACTACTGCTTTAGAACCTAGTTTAGCATATTATCATGGATCATCTTGTTATTTTTTTGAGCAACAGGAAAATCTATATCATGATGGTGAAAAAATGAAATTTCAAGCATTAATTTCCTGCCAGAATCCTTAAAAACAGAAAATAGGTATTAAAGATTAAAACCCATCCTTAGTGTCTCTGAGTTTAGCATACAGGTCTTAAGAGTTTAATCTTGTTAGCACTGAGGTACTGTGGAACAGTGTTTTCGAATACACCGAAATTTAAATAGCCATTATTTATGGAGCACCTGTTATGTGGCTGATATCCTGCTACTTTCTTATATACCTAACCTAAAATCATATAACAATATTGTTAGTTAGGTGTTATTCACCTGCTTTATAAATGAGGAAAATGAAACCCAGAGTCATATGGCAATTTGCTGAATACCTAGAACAGAGATGAGTTAAAATCTAGATTCTTTTCGCTTTATTGATTGTTACACCATTTGTATTTCTCTTTGGGGACTGAATATTTGCTAGAACTCCAGGACAGTTGAACTTCAGCTTTCTGTAGGAGGTTATAAGGTTTACAGTGTACTCTTGGTGGATTTTTCTTATATTTTTCTCTACTGATACTTCACACTTTCAACTTAGAAAGATGTTCCATTAGAGCAGGGATGTGATCTGTTTTGTTCTCTCCTGTATTTGTACTAAATGTGGAATTCAGTAGTACCTGAAGTCACCTCAGTGATTATTGAAAGAATGAATAAAAACCATGACAAGTTAAAAAGAAACTTATATTCCCTAAGTTTCTCCCGTTTGGTTCTTGCCATTCAGAGCTGAGCTGACACCACTGCGCTCTTCCAAATGTGTTCCACCTTAGTGAAGTGGCATCAAGTAAGTTGGACTGCCTTCCACCACTCCCTGGTATTCGTACTTGCAGTGTCTCATAAAGTGCTTATTTGTCACATCACAACATCATTAATGGAGGAGGTAGAAATGTCATATGATGCATTTTGAAGTTATCTAAATATATGTTTTGACTCACCACTAGTTGACTTTTGTCTTTTTTTTTTATGCATACAGAACTGGGGCACTGGCCAGAGGTGCAGGGGTGGTGAGAGGATTCACCAGAGACAGAGAGTGGGGAGCAGAACAGGCTGACTGATGAAGTACACTGCTGAGGGGAGCAGTGGGCGGGTCAGGAGAAGTCTACCGCACCATGTGGGTCACCTCCGAGACAGGCGGGGATTGAACTCATGCGTAAGAGGCTTTAGCTTCTTAGTGCTTAACCCGCTGCGCCACCTGGGAGGGTCGACTTTAGTCTTTTAAAACCAAGAATTAAACAGTTAACACAGATGATAGGAAAAGTAAAGACAGAGATGCTGACTCAGAGTAATCTTTTTGAACACAATACCTGGCCTATAGTAGGGACTCAATATATTTATTCATTTTAATTGAATTTAATTGAGTTTTACAAGGTGGAAAGCAATATAATAAATTTTGACTGAGAAGATTTCAGTGATTAAGCTATTTGACTTTAAACACAGTATTCTCCATCTCTTCAAGTTTGGTCAGATATTTCCATCATCATTCATTAGCTATAGTAGTGTCATGTACTTGATCTTGTCATATTGACTACAGTGTCAGTTTGTGGGGATAAACTGTCTCACCCATCTCTGTGCCAAGTGCTGGTCTCTCTTTCTGCTGAGCTGTTGGCTCCCATGTGCTATCATTCACCAGCTCCTCTCTGTAGGGCGTTTCTTCCAGATGGAAATGTTTGAGGGGTGCTTCACTCTTTCCTGGAAAGGCAGTGGTGCCTGCTAAAATAACATCAAAATGGAAATCAGCCAAGTAAATAATAATTGCCTATTGTGTTATTGCTTCTTTTGGATTGCTCAGCACAGTGGGTACCTCAAGAGCTTGATGAGGACAGGTGGAAAAAGCAAAAAAAAAAAAAAAAAAAAAAATCCACATGGAATAGAAGGAAGGAATGGTTTCTATTTTTGGAAGAGCACACGTCTGAACTCCAGTCACTGCTCGACATCTCGTATGCCGTCTAAAAAAAAAAAAAAAAAGCTGGGCAGACAGGCAATGTACTTTTCCCAAGAAGACTTTGGTGATGGGTTAGGAGTGTTCGACTTGGTGATTAAATAGGAAAGGATCTTATCTGAATGGTAGTAGCTCATTAGTGTTTAAATTGTAACTTCAGATAAAGTGTGTCTTAAGACTGATAGACGAATCTGAGTGGCTGTTAAGGGAGCACAGTTTTTAACACTGAAGTCAGGGGGTTGAGACTTGCTGTTGCACAGTTCCACGGGCTTGAAGTATTGTGTGCACAATACATAGTTTTTGAACTGGTATTTTACTGTGGGGATTATGAATTAAAATTTTGGGCAGTTAGTAGTATACCTCATAGTTGGAACTATATATATGTGCCTTTACCTTTCATATGGGAAGTCCTCCCCCTCCAAAACAAAATAAAAACAAAAAAGCTAGCATCTTTTTACAAAATCATGGTTGAACAGGAAACCTCAAACTTTACAAATACTCATTTTCACCAGGAAATTTCTGGCCTAACTTTATTTCAAATTGAAGAAAGTTTGAAAAATGATCTTTTACTTGTCTTTTTCCTTCCATCCAAATATTGCCAACCCTGAGTTGCTAAACTGCTGTATATACCTTTAATAGTTATCACAGAAGGACCAGATAATTGAAATAACATTTAAGATTTAGTAGGTAGTTTTTTAGTCAGGCACTTCATGAGAGGTCAGAAGCCTGTATACTGGCAAGCCATTGACGAGTGTAGGGAACACTGCCGCCTCAGAGGTTGCTGGGGCCCCAGTCTCTGGATAGGTGCTGCCTCCAGTGCATCTTTGACCACATGTTGTGTCTTTTTTCTTTTATCCTTGATTTGAATAACTGTTAAAGCTAGGAACAAATCCCATCTGTTTGTGTTAGTATTGTTTAGCTTTCTTTGAAAATATATTGAAATAATTGAACTCAAAATAGTTTTTATTCTGATGCTATAAAAATATTGGCCAGTTTGAAGAATTCTGATTTTTCAATAATATTTTCTTTTCCTCTCATTTAATTCCTTTGTTTTACTTATGTATTTTTTCTTAATGGACTAATTTTTTTTTATATATAATGGAGGAACTCCTCTATGGTGGGGTTCCAAGATGTTTATATCTTACTGACTAGCCGGGAGACTGCTAAGCTAGGGACTACAAAATTAAGAGGGTGAGGGCCAGCACAGCACCCAAGTGAGGGTCGGCGCCAGGACCAGGGAAGCCTCCGCGGTAGGCTGCAGCCCGTGGTCCCACCGAGGGGGCCGCTGCTTTCCAGCTGACTGGTGGTTGTGACTGTTGCGTTGGGGCTGATGCTGCCAGATGACTTGACTTCTCAAGATAAGCTGGAAAAATTTTTTTTTAAGGTACATGTCTGAAATATAAAAATCATATGTGTTGGCTCAAATTTTGAAGGAAGGGGGGAGAAGAAAACGTATGGATCAAATAAAAGGCTTCTATGGCTTAGGTATATGCCACAGAGTGTCAGTGTGTAACCTTTGCTCTAACGGGTAAATGTTGTTCATTAAAAATTAATCTCAATTAAAGAGCGTAAGTGGATGTTGATTTGTTGTAAATACTAAGCTGTCCTATTTTAATCACCTGTAACAAGGAAATGCCATTGACTTCATGGTGGAATTAGATCAGATCAGTCGAAGCACAACACTGCCCTGCCGGTGCTGGAACATCCCGATGCAGACACTTAAAAAGAAAGTGGAGTTTCAGGCTAAGAGATCTCCAGCCATGTGTATAGTTTCCATGTTTAACGTTTTCAAATTTCTAAAGTAGCGGTGTTCTCAGTTGAATTTAGAATTACTGTTAGAAAGTAGCTATAGGGTTTTTTCCCCTCCAGAATCCTTGAACATATTAGCAATTTATGGTTGCAGAAAATTTAATTTTGATTCACCTTCCAGTCCCCTCCCCTTCCTACTCCTCCCCCCACCTTAGCTATTAAATGGATATTCATGTATTTCTTTTTCTTTCTTTAAAGATTTGAACATGGAATTTAATCCTTCAGACCATCCTCGGGCCAGCACAATATTCCTCAGTAAATCTCAGACAGATGGTAAGTTTACTATTTTTTTGTTTGTTTTTTATTTCACTAAAAAACAAAAACAAAAACAACAACAAAACAACAACAACAACAACAAAAAAAAAACCAGCTACATTGGTAACTAGCCTGTTTTTATTTTCCACAAAATTTTGGTTTTCAAGGTAAAATAGAATCCCCTTTAGTCACCTCTAAGCATGTTGGCTGATACCTCCCTTAAGATTTCCTTCTCTTTATAGTAAATCACACTTTTGGAATTTCCTACTTTTGTTAATCAACTAAATTATTTCTCATTTTGCCAATCAACTGACTTCTGTGTATACTCAGCAAGAGTAGTGCCTACCCTGGAAGGCAGGAATTTTCCTTTAGGAATTGACATTTGCATAAATTATCAAAAGTTGCATAAAACATTTACATAAAAGTTCCAAAGTGTTAATTTTTAGGCATAGGTTAAAAAATGAACATTTAATCCTTAGATAAAAGCACCATTATCTCTGTTGTGTCACTTGACTCTGCATTCTATGGGCTTTCTTTTAGTCAAACTTCAGCTAACTAGTCTGTTCCATGATCTCTAGATATGTGTATAATTTCTCCTATGGGTTTTCCTCTCTGTTCAGTCCCTAGCTTAACTCACTGTTCCCTTTTCCCTGCTACAGAGGAGTTATAAAATTTAAACAATACAGTGAACTTGAATCATCTTCTTAATTAGATTCCTGTAGAGAAGTGTAGCAGGAGAAATTTTTTTAAATGACAGTAATAATGACCAGGATGTTATGTGACAATGGTGGAGTCCTATATGATTCTTTCTTAGCTGTTTTGACAAATTGCTAGGCTCTGATTTAGAGAACATCCTAAAATAACTGTAAAATAGATATTTTAACGGTAGTAGGTTCATTTATAGGAGCTTATAACTTCTTAATGATGATTAGGTAACAGTCTTCACATGGTACAGTGCCGACGCTAGTGGTCATCATTTCTTAAGCAAGCTGCTCAACTTGAATAGGAGCTTCTTTCTTATTCTTTTTGGGAATAAGAGTAAGTCATTGCTGGCATCAAGTACCTGTGGAAGTAAGATTTGAATGTAATGGGTAAAAAAATAACCACCTTTTTCCTCTTGTCCTGGTGAAGTGGGAAGCTCTCGGGAGTGTGGTGGCGTAGGGTATTGAAAGGAAAGGAAGGTGGAGGTATGAATGAGAGTTTCGGACAATGAAAAATGAACATTGTAATTCTCTTTTTTCTTTACATCTAATGCTAGTACTATGAAAATAAGTTCCAGTGTTGGCACATTTTCATGTTTTGTTCTTCTGAGAATTCAAGGCAAGACAAAACTTTCTAGTCAGTCATATCAGGGACTTTGAAAAAATGGCGTGGACTTTGTCATTCAAAAGTATTGACCCAGCAGGGCTGTTGCAGATATTTGTTAGGGAAGTATATCTTCTTTTCCCCCTGCACTTCAGATCTCACTCCTCAGGCTCCTTCATCTTCTGGAAAATCAAGCATCTTTCCATTCAGCACATAAATTACCTGAGTCTCTTAGGTTAAAAACAATACAAGGAAAAATAACAGTAACACTCTCTCCTCTGTACTTCTTTTCTCTCCGTTCAGCTCCCCTCTGGAATCTCCCAACGCTGTGGTCCACAAGTGTGTGTCCCCAGTTTGCTGAGGACATTTTCTCCCTTCACTCTGACCTCTCCTGTGCTCACACTGGCTCGCTCCTTGCTCTCTTGCACCTTGCTCTCTTGTCTTCCTAGATAAAGTAGGCCAGTTGCTGAGAACATGGCTATTTTATCAACAGTTAGTTTACAAATAATTAAAAGAAAGAGGTTTTTAAGTTAGGTAAATTTAAATACTTAAATGGATTAATTTGGTGACTGATAAGATAATTGGTTAGTGCATTCCCTGGTGGTGCAATGGGTTAAAGCACAGCACTGCAAGCAGGCCTCAGCCACTTCAATGCCAGTTTGATCCCCAGTCCCGGAGGTGACCCACATGGCGTGGCAGACCTCTCCTGACCCACCCGCTGCTCTCCTCAGCAGTGTACTTCGTCAGTCTGCCTGTTCTGCTCCCTACTCTGTGACAAATCCTCTCACTGCCCCTCCACCTCTGGCTTGCACCCCAGTTCTGTATGCATAAATAAATAAATCTATAAAAAAAAAGAATTGGTTATTTGGAGGATTGTTTCCTAGAGATCCTCTTTCTTTAAGTTCCTTTTAAGATGTCACAACCAACTTCTCCATTTATTCCTTGAATGTTAGTTTATCGTAGGCATCTGTATTTCACCCTCTTCTCCTTTTGGGCTGCACACAGTTGCTGGCAACTTCCATACCAGCTGTAATGTACAGCCAGATTGTTCTGTGCCGGATTCATGATTTATAATCCTGTTCTCTGCTGGCTATTGTTAGAACTAAGGCTACGGTTCCTCTTACTCTTTTTGTCCCAAACAGAACTTAGTAACTGCTGTTACCCTCCCACGTGTCCTACTCTTCCCAGATCCCCAAGTTAGGTGGACCAAGAGTTCCTCAGAGGGTGCAAGAGATGAGTGGAGAATTTGCCAGGTGAGACGGAAATTGATTCACTGGACTTGTCGTGTAATCATGTAATCCTTTTTGCGTGTGAGAAAAAGTTGTCTTTTCCTTTCCTGTATTATTTTAATTCATTGTTTGCAAAGACATTAAGTCTTAGGTGAAAGCAGCCAAGCTACATGTTTATTTTTATTAGTATACTTTTGGAGATTCTTTGCTTTTAAAAAGAAACTGGACAAAAATAAAGACTTGTTTGTGTGTTTCTCATGAGTTCCTCAAAGCCATTAAATGAATTGTTACCTAAAAAGTAAAGGATCTGTTAAAGTAGTAGCACAGCACTGAAATTCAGAAATAAAAATGTGAACCATTACTTCCTTTGCACTTTCTTTAGAAATATGGGATTGAAAGAAATGTATTGTAGTCCTCTTTTGTTTACAGTCCCATTTTTGTTCCCGGAGAGTATTTAACTTCTGTATCATGAGAGGCCCACCCTTTTTGTTCTCTCTTATATGTCATTTAAAAGCATTGACTTCTGTGCCTGGATGGGGTCTTTCTCCCGTCAGTATGTCCTGTGATTTTCCTGTCACGTCCTCTCACCTATTTACTTTACCACCTTGGGTGCTATGTTATAAGGTGTCTCTTTTTCACTCCCCTCTCAGTCTTTCTGTCCTTCCCTCCCACCCCCCCACCATGGTTTGCTGGTTCCCTCATTATGCAGCTAGATATGAAGAATCTATAGTAAAACAAAACTCTTACATCAATAATTTTCATATTTTATTCCTTTGTTTAACTGCCATGGAAAAAGGTTTTTTAAAGATTTATTTATGCGTACAGAACCGGGGTACAGGCCAGAGGCACAGGTGCAGTGAGACAATTCACCATAGACAGAAGGGGGAGTGGAAAATCAGGTCAATGAAGTACACTGCTGAGGGGAACAGCAGGCGGGTCAGGAGAGGTCTGCCATGCCATGTGGATCACCTCTGGGGTGAGGATCGAACTCATGTTGAAGTGGCTTTAGCTTCTTAATGCTGTGCTTTAACCCGCTGCACCACCGGGGAGGGCTGGAAATTTAAAAAACAAAAACAAAAACAAAAACAAAAAAAACAACTAAGAACACCATAAACATTTCATTCTTTCAAAGGATATAATTTAATTTATAGTAAACATTAGTTTTTTTTTTTAAAACAATTGTTCTTTTAAGGAATGTTTGAAATAAAATCTTAAAACCATAGTGATTTGATAATCTGCCATCAGTTATTTATAAAATGTATGGACATGCTCTTGTTTAACAGTTGGGTATTTGTATTATTCATTTTTCATCTAAACTTTTCTCCAGAGAATTTTATCTTGATGATTTTGAAATCTAAGATATACTCCTCAGTATTATACTTTTCTTCTATGGCTATATGGATCTAAATTTAGTTTAATTTTCATTTCTAATTAAAATTATGTTAAAAATAAAGTCTGGATTGAGATTTATTTCCTCATTAACCCTTAGTTGATCAAAATACCACAAACATGCTAAAATTTTAATGAGTGATTATTAAACAGAGACGTAAAATAAGTTTTAGAAAAAACAGTTGCAGAGATGCTTATGTGGGTAAATATAACATGGTACTGGGATGAGGAAGATATTCATCAAATTCTATGTTTTTATGTATTTAAATGCTGAAGAACTTTGTTCATAAACACAAATAGATGGAAACAGGAATTTTGCTGCACAAAATTCCTTCTACTCCTAGAATCGTATGTCAAACATGCCTAAGGGATTTATCATTCAAACCAAGTTTTGAAAATCAGCTACAATTTAGTCTTGGTTTCCTTCAATTTTGTTGACCGTAAGGAATAGCAATTCACATGATTTGCAAAAGAGCTTCTCACCCATTATAGGAGTCACTTAATTTTGCAGATGCTAGAAAGTTCACCATGGCTTTATCACAATGGCTTTATCAGAAACACAAATGACTTTTCATTATTACTCTTCTTTTGATGGCACTTGGTTTAACCTAATACATTCTGAAAACTTGGGAAAATAGATCTGTGACTCATTTCGAACACCTTCCCTGACCCCACTGAGGGCACTGCAGGTGGCATACCCTCTGTTAGAGTGGCATCTTCACTAGAGAGGCAGTACTGACTATATGTCTTTTGGAATTTACATCTTTATGATATGTGCAGTGGCTTGGCCAAGAAAGATCTCAAGTGCATGTTGAGAAAGATCCCCACCTGTCCTTTTTCTCTGGGCTAATAATTTTAGGTTCTCTTTTGCTTTAAATATATATATAAAGCAGGTCTTGAGACTGTATTAAAGGCATGATTCAACCCAAACTCTACTTGTTTCCCTGTGTGGTGACCTAGAAGAAACTGTCAGGCCAGGGAGGCAGACTTCTAGGTCTGGTCAGCATGCTTTTTCCTTTAAAGCTGGGGGAAAGGTAGTTGTAAAGGTGCAGGTATGGGTGAGCCCGTGCAGCCCACCTAAGCTATCTTCTAGGC